TTAGTTAGTTAGTTAGTTAGTTAGTTAGTTAGTTAGTTAGTTAGTTAGTTTAGTTAGTTAGTTGGTTGGTTAGTTAGTTAGTTGTTAGTTAGTTTAGTTAGTTGGTTAGTTAGTTTGGTTGGTTTAGTTAGTTAGTTGGTTGGTTAGTTAGGTTGGTTAGTTAGTTGGTTAGTTAGGTTAGTTAGTTAGTTAGTTAGTTAGTTAGTTAGTTAGTTAGTTAGTTTAGTTAGTTAGTTTAGTTTAGTTTAGTTTAGTTAGTTAGTTTAGTTAGTTAGTTTAGTTTAGTTTAGTTTAGTTAGTTTAGTTCAGTTTAGTTAGTTAGTTCAGTTGAGTTCAGTTGAGTTAGTTGAGTTAAGGTTGAGTTCAGTTGGTTCAGTTAGGTTGGTTGGTTAGTTGTTTGGTTAGTCAGTCAGTTAGTTAGTTAGTTTAGTTAGTTAGTTAGCTTTAGTTAGTTAGTTAGGTTAGTTAGTTAGTTAGTTAGTTAGTTAGTTAGTTAGTTAGTTTAGTTAGTTAGTTAGTTAGTTAGTTAGTTAGTTAGTTAGTTAGTTAGTTAGTTAGTTAGTTTAGTTAGTTAGTTAGTTAGTTAGTTAGTTTGGTTGGTTGTTGGTTGGTTGGTTGGTTAGTTAGTTAGTTAGTTAGTTAGTTAGTTAGTTAGTTAGTTAGTTAGTTTAGTTGGTTAGTTAGTTAGTTAGTTGGTTGGTTAGTTGGTTGGTTAGTTAGTTGGTTGGTTAGGTTAGTTTGGTTAGTTAGTTAGTTGGTTAGTTGGTTAGTAGTAGTTAGTTAGTTAGTTAGTTAGTTAGTTAGTTAGTTAGTTAGTTAGTTAGTTAGTTAGTTAGTTAGTTTAGTTAGTTAGTTAGTTAGTTAGTTAGTTAGTTAGTTAGTTAGTTAGTTAGTTAGTTAGTTAGTTAGTTAGTTAGTTAGTTAGTTAGTTAGTTAGTTAGTTAGTTAGTTAGTTAGTTAGTTAGTTAGTTAGTTAGTTAGTTAGTTAGTTAGTTAGTTAGTTAGTCGTCAAATCATCCTTATCGCACGTGGAGCCACTTCATCCAAAAGAACTCGGATCCCCTGATCCATGGCTTGTCCGGAGTTTACAGTAGCCTTGCATGCAAGTCTATCAGCTTGCTCATTTCCTTGTACCCCCACATATCCTGGCACGAAAATTAAACTAATCATCCTTGTCAGCCGTGAAAGCTCTAAAGCCACAAATCACTGCCTTCGGACCCAGCCCTTCTCTATCCTCCTGAGCATCTCATCGAGTCACTGAGAAAGCATACCCCAGTGAAAGTCTGTGCCTCAACCCATGTTACTGCTTTAGTCAGAGCCAAGACCTCCATAGTCAGACAACTTGTAGTTGCGGCAAACAATCCAGAATCTTCCTTCATAACTCTTCCTCCGTCGGCTCTGTGGCTAAGTCGATGCGAACGCTTCATAATGCCGGGATGCCGGGTTCGATCCCAGCTGCGGGCCATGCGCCTTGCGTTGGTTTCGACAGTAGTATCAAGAAAGCCGACCGTCCAGGAGAAATGGCAAACTACTGGACGTAAATTTGCCTAGAAAAACCACACTGCAATGTCCTGTAAAGGATACGCAACTAAACTAACTCTCCCTCCAACCTGAGCCGTGAAAGCCTACGAGCTTCTAACATGCCGGATGACTGTTATACTTCTTCTTCTTCTTCCTCCTCAAGTCATATTCTGCCTATCAGCGTCAGGTTTTGAAGAGCAATCTTGCTAGTAAACAAGGGGCAATAAGCGTACTATTTTGTGGTAAATGGTAAGGTAGTTTCCCTTTTTCTTACCCACATCTTTTCACACTCATGTTTAATGAAATTAACGATTGAGATACAAGATTCAGCCAGGTACCGTCTCTTGTTGTATTGTATATCTTGCCTTCTTGCTTCAACGTTTACCTCATGTATGGTTTTCAAAGGGTTTATGTTATGTCTTTTAATGTGGCCGAAATATCTAAATTCTCTCTCTCTCTCTCTCTCTCGATCGATCGACCGATCGATATCTTGACATCCCTTTTTGGGATGTTATTTTTTGTTATTTGAAGCCCTACTCTGGCTCTTGCCAGGGGCTGCAATATAGCCCGACAATTAAAATGGTCTAATGGCTGAACGCGGTTTTTGGGACCTCTCCACGGGTGATCCTCATCCACATGGTGGCACTTTGTGTCATCGGGTGTTTATCGCTTGTGATGTCCTGGTTGGGTAAAAGAAGATAGATCAATCTCTCTCTCTCTCTCTCTCTCTCTCTCTCTCTCTCTCTCTCTCTCTCTCTCTTAACAGAAATTTCTCTCTCCTTATGCAATAACTCTCTCTCTCTCTCTCTCTCTCTCTCTCTCTCTCTCTCTCTCTCTCTCTCTCTCTCTCTCTCTCTCTTGCACCCACTGTTCTTACCTCTCACTACAGATCCATCTGCACATAAAGGTATGTCTCTAAACTCGAGGACAACACAGGCAACAAAACTATCAACGCATGAGACAGACGAATTTCCCGATTCAGGACAGGAGAAACAATCAACACAGACGTCACTATGAGAACACAGGAAGATATAATAATAGAGAAAATCAATGAACTACGGCAACAAGATCCAGAACCCACGACCTGTATGGGACGACTGCCTGCGGTGGTAAAATTCTACTTCCGAATGCACCAAGAGTTCTTCGACGAAGGAGAGCAAGCTGTGGCAACTGAATATCGGAAAGATCACAAATTTAAAAAATTAACAGTCTTTGAAATTTGTTATCAATTTGACAAAGACACTCAAGAAAAAAAGCAAACGACTACTTCACATTTTGGATGGACACAGACAACGTCTAAACTGAACTACTATCAAATAGAAACAACATGATCAAAGATAAAAATACTGCCAGATTATAAATTACAGGCAAGCCAAGAAGAACACTAGAAAGACAATGAATATGAATGGAGGCCCCCCCCCCCCCCCCCCCCTCTGTATCTTTCTCCCCTATATCTTTTTTTTTTTTTTTACACCTTTTTTTTTTTTTTGTTAAACAAAACAAAACTATACTCGCATACATACTAGATATAAATAAAGGGACCCCCCCCCCCCCCCCCACCCTCAACAATACGCTTTTTGGGCCAGACGTACAAACATTTCTAAAAGCGTCTTATGCTAGACAGCAGCTACGGAACACCGCCAACTCTAGATTACGCCCATCTAACAAATATGTTAACAAAGCACTGAGCTATATATTTATTCGGCTTACCTACTGACGTATAGTTCTAAGTCTTGTAACAAACTGTGAGTCAGTCCTCAATAAAAACTTAACACAGAGGGACTCATGCACAATAACGGTCTCATTTCTTGCCCAGTCCTTTCTATAGCTAATATGGCCGTGCTACGGAATTACAGTTCACAGCACTATAAGCCCTACCTAGACAGGGGAGCACAGTTGCATTGAGTCAGCAGCACCCTTGCATATGTCTCATTTCTTGCAGTCCATGCAGCACAGATTGTGCAGCACATATATTGTGGATGGCTTTAGCCTTAATTGGGCAATAATATTTTAACAAATATTATTAGTATGTGCCAAATAGCAAAGAAATATAATATAGTGAAAGGCCAGTAAAGATAAATGACAGATGAATGCATGATAACATCAGGTGGAAGATGAATAACTGAAATAAGAAACAGAATTGGACAGGCAAAAACTGCATTTTATAAAATTAAAAACATCTTGTGCAATATATCCTTGTCATTGAGAGTTAGAAAACGAATTCTTGCTTCCTACATACATCCAGTTTTAACATGTGGAGGTGAATCGTGGACAATCGGTAAACAGGCCAAACAATTATTAGAGGCCTCAGAGACGTGGTTTTACAGAAGAATGCTTAGAATACATTGGACAGCCAAAAAGAGCAACCAAGAGGTTTTGAAAGAGGCGGGAGTCAGAAGACAACTTATCACAGACATCAGAAGGAGATAGTCATCATTTTTCGGCCATGTTATGAGAAGAGGGAAAATAGAACTTGTTGTGACCACTGGAAAGATCTGTGGGAAAAAGGGATAGAGGAAGACAACGAGAGAAGATGCTTGACAGTCTTGCTGCATGCCATGGAGGTGTGTCGGCACACGAACTGATACATGCTGCAGGAGATCGCAGATTATGTAGAGGCATGATCGCCAACGCCAGTCGGCATGGCACCTGATGATGATGAAGGCGTGAAATACTGAAAATACGGTAAAATAAAAAAGCATTGATTTAAAAAAATATACTTGAAGCTGAAGAGATAGATTTGAGCGAGAAGTAGACAGTGATACAAGTGGGAGAATAACATCAAGAGATAGACGAACATCCATCTCAATGTACAAGCAGGGCGAAAGACAGCTAAGTTGTGTCCCTGCAGATAAAACATCTCAAGAACGAGAATCAAATAGATATAAATCCCGGAAACCCTATTCAGCCGTACAGTTAGTTATACTGATACACCACAAAATGGTTACTAAGTAACCTATAGTCGAGTTTTGGTGAATGCATTGCTTTTATTGTAGCAACGACACAGTTAGTTAGTTAGTTGGGTTATCCTCATTGCCTTCCGGACATGTCCATAGGTGCTCAGATCCTCCCCTCAGTATGAACCCCAACGTCCGATGGCTAATAGTACCAGTTCTATGTTGATTAACAAGTCTTCTGGCGTGTCTGGTGTGCGTCTCGTTTTTTGCTGTGCCGATCTTACTTCCCAAGTCTGCCATTCTGGCGAGTGATGTGGATTCACTGCCACCAAAGTCCTCTATCCTTCCAATTTCTCTGAGGGCATTGATACAACGACACAGTATTTACCCCTAAACTCTTGTGAAACAGAGATAATATTCCTATAATGTTTACATGTTCGCCATGTTGTCCTCAATAGTTGCCCCGATTGAGAACACAGACACACCTAGGGCAGTCACATGATTTTGTTTTGCTTCGTTAAGCCAGGTTTGTTGAGTTCCTGGACGCGTGCGAGTTTCGCTCCTATCTCAAATTATTTAACTATGGACTCCAAGTATAAAACTGTCATACAGGGTGAGGCTTCGGAATCCGACGATGAAGAAGAATACTTTAATGTGAGTTAAGTGCAACATTTCGTCTTCTGCGGACTGGTCATTCTTTTGTGCCGATTCGTTCGCTCATCATATGATCATTGTCTTGTAGTACTGCAGTGTTTCGACAGTCAGCGACTGTTAACTTCAAGTTATTAATTTGCAAATCTGAAAAGAAAATGTAACAAAATAAAAATGCATAACCCAGTAAGACGTGATATAGCAGATGAAACTAATGCATGCCTAAGAACTGTCATTACTTCAGACAGCGATCATCTTTATCACGTGATGTAGTGCTCAAAGAAAGGGGGGAGGAGGGAGGAAACAAGGGAGTCATTGCTGGAGCTGCGGATTTACATGTGTTTTGCTCAGTGCTCTGCAGAAAAAGATTGAGCCATAAGAGATAAGATCCTACTGAAGTGGAGCCAGTCTTGTCACAATAGTCAGTCCTCTCGCCCTTAAACTTAAACATCCTTGAAAATATGTCTGGTTATTTCTTGCTAGTTATGATTAACTCTTTCAGGCCCATGAATTTTGACAGACTTGGCCCACATTAATTTCCCTTTACAAAAATGGCAGAGGGGTGGGTGTACAAGAAAGGCTGTAGAGACTGTAATATACTTCTAATCCCTATAACAGTATATATTTTTTAAACGAGAAATGAGTGTACATTCTGAATCTGATGATAAGTGTTTGTTTAATTTTGTTATAGTTAGTGGAAAAGAAGAATTCAGCAGGTGTTAATTTCACAAGGACAACATTTCACAAAAAAATTCTTCACTCACCATGGTTTTGCAGCCACAAGGATAGTAAATATCCAAATTTGAGAACAAAACTTCAAAGTTTGTTCAATGTCCTAACATATTCTAAAGTTATGATAACTTTCTGGGTTAGTTTACCACTCAGGGGCTCTTAGTTCCCACCGAGTGCTAAGCAAAGTTCAGAGAAAAAATGGCAGAAAAATGAGCCATAACACACACACTATTTACTATTCACTTTGTACAGCTATTTACAGACTGTAGCTGCGATGATTTCAATGTAGCTTAGCCATAGTATAGTACTATCTCTTTGTTTAGAGCACTTTCCTTCTCTTACACCATAAATACGGTAGTATGGGACATTGTCTGTGTAATAAACTCGTCAGAATCGCTAGATTCCGAACAGCTGATCGCTCAGCTTCACTGGTGAAAATTCACTGACTGAATCACTTTCTGAAAAATCTAAATTTTTATTATCATTTTCACAATTAAAAACATCTGACTAAAACAATTTCAGAGCTTCGGCCGCAGAAAGACGCATTCTGCGACCTGTTCTTGTGGTTAGAACATTGGTATTCAGTGCACTCAAAACCGAACTTAGAAAATAAACTGTTAAAAAAAATTTGATGTGTTTTTCTCTCAAATTATCCACGTGTGGTTTAGTCCAAGAAGTGAAACTAAAAGGATTTCCGTAGAGTGACTTTCCCTGAATAGGTTATTCATACCTCCAAACATTAGAAACTAGTACGAACGTGCATGCGAAGCAAAATGTAAGAGATACACGATTAACGATGACACTGTTGTTTGGGCAGAACGGAACTTCTCAAACTACGCTCACACCGTTGTTTGGGCCTTAAAGAGTTAAGGCAGTTGACAGCAGCATTTCACTGATTTGAAAGCCTTGTTTACTTGTGCAATAATAATTGTTAAAATTGTATTAGTATTTTATAATAATATATTTGAACTTATATAAAAAGTTTAAATAATTGCTTTAAAAAAAGAAGTCTATACATGGTGGAAGGGAGCTTTGCTCTCTACAAATTATGGGGTTGGGGGGGGGGGGGGGGGTGTCAGCACCAAAAAAAAACATTTGTTGGAGTCTCAAGTTGCCTGAGCCATAGGTTCTGGTGCCTGTGCAGTCGTTTATTTTTCAAGAAAACAGCCCTGGGTACATTGTGTGTGTGTGAAATATATATAAACATATTTTCACACTAAACTTGTAGTAGTGTAGTGGTGGTGTGAGTGGTAGAACTAGTTCCCAAATCAAACTGAGTTCATGACCTGTGAAATGTGCTCACTGAAGGATCAACACCCATCTTGTTGTTGTCCTGTGTTTGTTGTGATCTGACCCACAGATGCTTCTAAAGCTGAGTATAAATTTGATTAACCTTTATTGGGTTGACTATAGTCTGTCTGTTAGTGGAATGCTGTATGTGTTGAGGATACCAGTCCACTGTTACAGTCACCAGGGGTGTTATTCTCTCTTCAAGATTCATCATTTCTCTCAGCTGTGATGGTACTTTCATTATTGTTTGATTGCAGTATGTTAGTGGAACTATTGCAGCTGTTCATTTTTGTGTATAATTAAATTGTTCAGCCTAAAACCTAAGTTTATATTTAAGTCATTCAGTCATGTGTGACTCAGTCCTGTAGAAACTACTTTAAGACCAAAGTTTATATATATATATATATATATATATATATATATATATATATATATATATATATATATATATATATATATATATATATATATATATATATATATATATATATATATATATATATATATATATATGTCATTTAGTAATGCAAGACCTAAGTTCAAGTCCATCAGTCATGTAATTCGTAAGTAAATATTTAAGTCATTCAGCCCTGTAAGAAAGTCTGAATTTAGGACATTCAGTCATGAAGATCTAAGTTTATATTCAAGTCCTTCAGTCATTTAAGAAAGTTGGTTCTCCTTGCAATAACGGTCGCTACTTGGACAGTGACAGCCGCTTAGTCGGAGTTCAGTCCCCTGGCTGCAGTGCAATTACGGAGTGGACAAGGCACGAATCACAAAACACAGTGAGTTCAACATGGCGTCTAGACCACGCGCTGCGACTCACATTAGCCTAACCCTAACCCAAACTCTAACCCTGACCCTACCCCTAGCCCTAATTATGTCATTTGTGTCGTTCCCTCTTTTCCACTCCATAATTGCACTGCAGCCAGTGGACTGAACTCTAAGCGGCCGTCGCCGTCCAACTAGCGACCGTTATTGCAAGGAGAGCCCATCATAGTTTTTCTGGACATTACTCTGTTGTCAGTTATTACTTGAACTAAAGATACCCTAAACTGTTTATTGTAAATAGTTTGTAGTTTAATCTTTTCTTTTCTGCCTTGCATCGCCCAATGGAGATTAGGCCCTCAACTAACTCATGCTAAATAAACATTTTATAGACCTGTTCATGATTGGTTGGATTTTGCATTTGTAAACGTAACATTTTCTTTAGGATGACATCCTGTGTTTCATACCAACTCTCCTAAGCCACCTCTTTTGTCATTCATAAGTTAACATTATACTGTTTGTTACTTTTCTAATAGACTCTGGTAATATATGGTCATTAGCACACTCTGTTGTATCTCACAAGTGTTTATTAAACTCTAATCCCTGTGTGGGTTCCAGGCCCCACATTTTGGGGAAAAATAATAGATCCACTGTCTCCCTATAAATTGTGTCATAAAAGGCAACTAATTAGGAATTTTTCTTCCTTGTTCCCACAGAAGGAAAATAGTCATGACAGAAATTAAATGTTTACATATCATGTTAAGTGTAACAAAGAAAGAAATGATATCAGGAGGAGGGTCGGCATAGAACCAATACTGAACCTCATAGGTAGACAACAAATCAAATGTGTTGGCCACGTAATAAGATTGGTATCAGACAGGGCACCACAGACAGCAGTGTTATACAGATATAGTGGTAACAGACCCAGAGGTCGACCACGCAGAAGATGGACCGCAGAAATATCAGAGACACTGAAAAGTACTTTATGCAAAGAAGACAATAGGTCTCATTCCAGAGAGCTCATCTCTTTCTGCCCTGCTGCTGCAAGCCATTCCAGGAGTAGAGAAAAGAAGAAGATTTGGATCATGTCTGGCTGAGAGGCGAGGAACCAACAGTCTTCATACCAATCAGCAGATCTGTAAAATGATGTGCATGCAAAATTCAGGTTTTGGAGCAAGGCTTAAGTCGAGAAGTGGAAGAACAACCAGAACTTTAGGCCCACATCTCATGCTCACTATAAACATTGTCATAACATTTATCCCAAACTCCTCTATTATCCACCTAAATTTATGCAACAGGTCTTTGTTTTGGGGGGTAATTATCAAGCCTCATTTCTCTGCTTCAGGAAGAGCCAAAGTCCGTTGTTGTTGATGGAGAAGCCCCAGAATCCGATGAAGAAGAAATCAACACAGGCAATAGTCCTACAAAGAAAGAGCTGCCTCAGTTGAAGCGTAAGCTTTCATTACAAGTCTTTTGTTTAATGGCTGGATATTGCCAAGTTTAGATGGTAACTTCCCTGGGTATTTTGTTTCTCTGGTGTAGGAGTGTCTGGTTTAATTGTAAGTGACAGAATCACTTCAGTAGACCTGTAGGCTCTTTAGTTAGCTGTTCATGAATCCTCTAGAAAGTTTAGAGATCACCCTATGGTTCTATGTATTGATATTCATGTTCAGTCTGAGTCCTAGCAGGGGTTGAATGGGTGGGAGTAAGCTTTGCATTCAGACATTTCTCCAGACCTGGTACTAAGCAGAGGCAGGGGTTGACCAGCAGAAATGTGGATAGATGATATTGTGTTTCTGGTCTGGTTTGAAGTAATATTTTAAGAACTTGTTACATGATGATGAATTTTAGTAAAACCTCTCTGACATAAGCAGATTATTGATTAAATTACTAGTAATTATAAATATTTTTGTGTCATTGGGTTTGTTGTCGATAAACATAGGCCATCATAATTAACCATGTCACTAGCATCATGGACCAGGTCACTGATCTTGTCTCACTCCATCCATAATTCTAGGACATCCGGGTATTCATCTCTTTGTCTTCCCCTTATTTACCTATCAGTCCTGCTGGTCTTGAATCTATTCCTCTTCATAATATGTTTCAAACACACCAACTGTGTATGTGTAATTTTTCTCTTTTCCCTAACCCACTTTTCCCGCTACTTGAACATGTTAAAAAACTTGATCTCTGCATTTCTCTTTCAGTAAATGAACATTCATCCCCATTTGAATCAGTGGATGACCTTACAAGTGTTCCAACATTGTCTCCAAAATATGCTGGACGTCCAAAATATGACAAGTTGGTAATTTTAACTCATTAACTACTAGATAAAGAGGCACATGGGGTAGAGACACACATTAAGGCAAACCTTTTGGCCAGAAAGAACAACAGTGGAACGTAAACTCTAAGGACCACTGAATGAACTAACAACGACAGTGAAATTTATACAAGAGACAAAACTGCTGATATAGATAACTTTTTTCAGGCGAACGAAAGAAGAGAAGAGGATATTTACATTTTTTTATCATAAATACACACATTCTGCCACTACCGAGATTTGAATCCCATAATAGGCTTATTAGCCACCCTGTGTTCATTGGCCTCACACGTCATTGAAGCAGATTTTTTTTTAATTGACCTGTACTTCTGGTGTGACCCAGTCTAAAACTGAGCACCAGGCACTGCCTTACATCAGACACAGAATTAGAAGGTCTAAGGAAGTTGACTCTTTCAGTCCCAAGGGGTTTAGCATCAGAGAACAAAGGGGTAGTAACATGGTTTTGAAATGTTACAAGTGTGACACATTAAAACAGGCCATACTAATTCAGCTGTCATTCCACATACATATTTTATCTATCAAAGTGACCAGAGATTGGTGAGAAATAATATAAGAAAACTGCTAAAACAAATAATTGCATTAGTAGTTAAATATTAGTAAATAAACAGACACCATGTTTAGGGAAATTAGTAAAATGAAATAATAATTTTTCCACTTACCACTATGGTATGGTGCTCAAGGAAAACTAAAATATATCCAAGAGGAATCACAAATGAACATGACCCACTTAGAAATGTATAAATAAAATATAAACACAATCTGTACATTAGATCTTGCTCCAGAGAAACTTTTGGAACACCATAACAGAGCACCATTTTTATGGTAAAGAAAAATGACTTCCAAATCATTTAGTATCTTAACACAAAATATAACACTAAATTTTCCCATAATTTTGTAGTGATGTTCCTAAATGGTTATTTTTTTATCACATCCACCGGCTGTAAACTCCAGCGAAAGTTCTGGGTGTTAGTCCATCTCTGGACTCTAGTCCTGTTCCAGAATGGTGTGTGTTGCGTACACATCCATTTTGCTTATCTGACTTATCTATATGCCGATTCTTGGTTCCCTGCCTCTCTGGCAGATGCACTACTTTGAAAGAAGCCCCCAGTTACTTGACTCTTGCGACATGCTTGTTGAGAAGGCAGTGGGTATCTTCTTGCTTTCCTTACAATGGGGCCCTGGAACTCAGATAGGGAATGTTTCTAAATAATAGGGGAATAGTACCATAACTGACTGACACTATAAAAAAAATAGCCCTTTTGACAAATATTTATTCTTTTTGTGCCAGCTTACTTTATTATTATTGTAGATAATTATACATGAGGTGCAGCATCCATGGCTTAGGGGTTGCGAGTCCGACTTGTAATCCAACGTACCGCCATTGAAACCCACTGCTGGCTGCATGGATTTTTATCATGATATGGGGCGTCGCAGGTCGACCCAGCCTAAAATGGGTACTAGGATGGCTGTCCTGGGGAAGTAAAGACGGCCGGCGTAATGCTGACCACATTACCCATCCAGTGCCAATTGGTCTATAAAAATATGGGATGCTCTTCTCATATACACGATGCGCCTAAGGGGTGAAAAGGAATCTTTACTTTTTTTTTTTTCTACATGAGGTACATATTAGAGCTTTTCCTTATCAAGGTTTGACTTTATAAATGACCGAAACAAGTCTTCTTTGCTACTTTCTTTGACTTTGAATAAAGCTAATAAACACATTTTATTTACATTTGAGGCATCTTAAGCCGTAAATCATGTTGGCATGGATAAAAAAAGACTGCATGGTGGCCATATTGTTTTCAGACACTTAGTAACTCAGTAAAGCTAACAAACATACTATGTTTTGTGCTTTTAACATTTCCAAATAAGCTTTATGGTAAACATATGTGTTAATAATATTAAACACAGAGAACTGGAGAGGTCAGTCAAAACTGCTGATTCATCTGTTTACATTGCCCACTGGTAAATTAAAAAGAGAGACATATAAATGGTGCATCTTGCATTCACTGGGCGTCTAGGTAGTAATCTATGAAAATACAATCTGTTTCTTGAGACTGAAAGAGTTAAGTCACTGGTGTGATACTAACCAAAGCACCTATTGAGTCCAGAATGATGTAATAATAATGGGACTAGCATCATATACCCAATAAAATGAAAATATGAACCTTTCTGCTTCTCTTTCTGTTAACATTCACCATCTGAAAACTTCACTGGAAAATTCTGGTTGTTTGTCCACTTCTGAACTTTGGTCATGTTCCAAAACTTGAGTTTCACATTATTATTGCTTATTTATATCCAGACTATTGCACCTGCACTCTCTTTGAAGAAATCACCTATAATTAGTCATATCTAACAACATGTTTGCTTGGGGGCATTGGGTACACCCCCCCCCCCAAATGTGGCTCTGAAACTTACCTTGAATGGCCCATCCTAAAATGAGTACCGGGGTATGTCCTATTCAAAAACAGAAGAAAAAATACCCTAGGCATTTGTGGCTCATGGATATGCACTACAGAACTGCAGCACCCCCATTTTCAGTCAGTGTTTTAGCCACAAACCGCCACTGGTCCTCTGTAGAAAAAGTGGTTGGTGTGATATTTACAACATCACCCATTGAGTCCTATATGATCTATACCAGGCCTTTTCAAATAAGTTTACTTAGGGCCCACAATTTTGAAAATTTGGGTCATCACGGGCCAGAGGCATGAGTCCCAGCATAGGCATATCATTGATACAGTACAGCTGTCAGTGATCCGCGGGCCACTTACTAGGCCTTCACGGGCCGCATTTAGCCCATTGGCTGCCAGTTGAATAGCCCTGATCTATACAAATATAGGGGACTACCAGCAAAGACCAAGTGAAAAAAAATACAGGATATTCAACAGTCTTTGTAACTAAGCAGCTAACAGCTTGCTACTGAGCAGCACGTAAAACTCTTTTTAACATTTTTACACATTTGAGTGCTACAGATCATGAAGAGAAATGGACAGAGAATCATTAGACAGGCACTGAAATGGGTGACAAATGGATTGAGAAAATAAGAGGTTCAAGCTAAATTAAGAGGCCTAATGTAATGCATAATGGCACAACAGGAGGTGGATGATGGTAAGTGCTGGACAAGAACTTTGCTATTTTGTTTATTGCTCTTGCCACTGAAGTGTGGCAAGAGCAATCAACACAATAGCAAAGTGCTTGACAAGCACCTACCTACTTTGTTGATTGCAGCTAAACTGTAAGCCAAAACTTTTTATATAATTATTTTTCTCATCATCTTGTTTCAGCGTTCTCAATAAAAAATTATGTAAGTACTACTATATGTATTTCATTTTGTTTTGTTTCTTCTTCATATTCACTGGCAGTAAATTCCCACAGAAAGTTCTGGATGTTTGTCCACCTCTGGTCTGTAGTCTTGTTTCACAACTTGAGTCGCAAATGCAGAGTTTTGGTTTCTTACCTTTCAGGCAGATGTACTCTTTTGAAAGAAGCCTCTAGTTAGTTGACTGTTTTGACATGTTTGTTGGGGGAGCTCTGAGTCTATTGTTTAGCTCACAATGCGGACACATAACTGACACAGGGAGGTGTTTCTAAAAACTGACTGTTTTCTTTCTTTTTTTTTTTTTTTTTTGATTGCTTGAGGAGTCAGAGAGCTCAGAATTTTTTACGAAATACTTAATTTCTCTAGAGAATTTGTCTTTTTTGCCGTTTTGTTTTTAATATTTTTTTTTAAAAAGGTCTCTTCTTAACCATTTCACCCTGTAAAAGACTTAAAAAATGAACTTTTATCAAGTTTTGTTTTTAAAAAAAACAGAGCATCCTTATTCTCAAAATGTGCCCTAAAAAGAAACTGAAGAAATTAGGAGTCTTGGTAAGTTTTTATAAATGTCCAGGGGGTCAGACCCCTAGACCACCAAGCAGACAGGCAGACCTAAAGTCCTCTGCACCTTTGATGATGTTACATCACACACTTCAAAATTTGTCCAGGCACTAAACGTGTACAGCGGGAAATGGCTTGTTTCTTTGTGAGGAGAAGTAGTCTTTAAATACAAAAGGAGCAAAGAATTAACGGATTTCCTGCCCTTTGATGATTGAAAAGTGGTTTTTGGTCACTTTGCCACAGATGGCAGTGTAACACATTATGTGATATCATAGTGGCTTCACAATATTTAAAAATCATTTTGTCAACTGAAATAATATTTTTGAAATTTTTTGGATCAGTATAATCGTCACCATGTCTACACACTTTACATTTGCAACCTGTACCAAAGCTATCATACAGGCATACTGGGCACTGTCTGAAGACATGTCAACCAAAACCTGTGAAAGCCGGAAAAACAGCTTTCTTGGGTTGAGAGGGTTGATCCAATGCATTTAGTCCCATCACAGACCAATTGCTTGATATGCTAATGACTGATGTAAGTAAGCTATGTAAAGGAACCTTTTCACACCAGGGGGCGTATCAGTATCAGGTTTGTGTTACTAGGCTCATATTTGTGTAGAGCAGTCAGCACTCATTGGGTGCTATGGTCCACATCATTCTGGCTGCCTTTTCTTTCCAAGACTTTACGTGGTACCGGTTTTAGACTGGGTCAGCCTGGGAGCCAAGGTCAGTTTTGACAGAATCTGACTCTATGCAGATTTGAAGTACTTAGTATGACTGATGGCTTCTATCTCATCATCGCCCAGTTTGATTGTGTGTTACCTGGCAACCTGCATAGGTGAAACTTAATATAAAATTAAGGTAAATAATATTTATATTTGTAAGTAATTGGGGTATTTACAAACATGATAGGTAATTAAGTAAAGTAAAGTAAAGTAAAGATCCCTTTACACGCCCTTAGGCAAATCGGGCATATGGGAAGAGCACCCATATTTTTACAGACCAATCGGCACTCGGTGGGTAATGTGGTCAGCATTACGCCAGCCGTCTTTACTTTCCCAGGACAGCCCATCCTGGTACCCATTTGAGGCTGGGTCGACCTGCGACGTCCCATACCACGATAAAAATCCACGCAGCCCACGCAGGTTTCGATCGGGGTACGTTGGATTACGAGTCAGACTCGCAACGCCTTAGCCACGGACGCCGCATAATAGGTAATTACTTCTTAATTATTTTTTTTCCTTCAATCTATCCCTAGGGGAGAGTAATCTTTCATTATGTAATAACTTAAATGGACTAGTTGGCCAGAGTTACCTGTCAGCAGCTAAAGAAATCACCAACTGTTGCCAACAGCTATCAAAGTCACATGCCTCTCTCCAGGTATTGATTTTGTGTCTTGCTGTCTGTGTTATGTGGATGTAATTTGTTCTGATGTGTTAAACATGCAGATGAAGTGTTGGTTAGCTGTGGTAAAAGTTTGAAGATGTAATTAGCACAAGGATTAGCCCAGTGATTGTGGAAAGTGAAGAAACATGAGTTTAATTGTGGTTTTTAAAAACAGAACATGGTTTGGTTTGGTTTTACATAACAGATCAACATCAAGCCACAAGGGTAACCCATAAGTGCTCTGTACTACTTCTAATTCAAGCCTGGGTCCAGAGAATCTCAGCACAGTGCACAAACTCCTTAGCACCAGTGAGGATCCTGAAATACTTTGTGTAGATTTTTATATCAAAATTGTTCCTAGGCAAAGCCGTTAGGCTACTGTTTTCTATTTCCATGTGCCACAGGAGTTTTTTTTACGCGTGCAACAATACACACGGGCATCCGATCTTACTACCCAGAGACCAGTGGAAATAACTAGAAGTCCACGTGAAAAAATCCCATTCTTCACTGGGGCCTGAACTCGGGACCTCCAGCATTTGAGGCAGACGCCATGCCTCGAGACCACTAAGCCCCCGAAACAAAACATTTTTAAAAAAAACTGGAAAAGGAATAAATGAATGAAAAAAATTAAAGGTATGTTGAACATTGATTCCCTAGGAATGATAACACCAAAACTATGAATGAGGTGATTTTCCCAGAAGACAGGTAGTTTGATCATTGGAGCAATATTTTATGGCAGTGAAAGAAACTGTTATTTTATCTTGTTTCACAATAGCTCTTTCTGTCTGTATTTTTTTTTGCATTTATGTTTCTATGTGACCGTCCCAGTTATTTATAATTCTGTTGCTTCTGCAGTCACCAAGCTATTTTCAACATCACTTTCAATGAGGAGTGAGACTAGCTACCTCACTGCATATAAAACTTGGGCTGTCATTATATAGGGAGCTTGGCAAGAGTTTAGGGCCTGTGCTCTATTGGGTCGTGAATGACAAAGGAAAAAAAAGCATTCCTGCATCTGAGATAATTACCCCCCCCCCCCCCACCCCCACCTCGGGTTATTGGGCGTTGGGGGTGGGGATATGCCCAATATGGTTGCATACTGAAAGATTCACACCCGTGACTTTGTGAGACACTATTTGGATGTAAATCCTGTTGTAGCAAATGACAAGACACCCAGCTCAGCCATAAAACAGTTATATTAGGGTACCCAATGGTTACGAGTAATATTTGTTCCCCTGTGGGATGTGTTCATGGTGGGTAGTATTATGCATTTGTCCCTTTTTAATCCCACATCAGAAAGAGACAATCTACATTCTTTGGTGATGTGATAAGAAGGAGAAGACTGCAGTACATTGTGACAGTTGGAAAGTTGAAGGGGGAAGAGAGGCAGAGGAAGACCGAGGGAAAAGATGCTGGACAGTTTGAAATTTTGGTATGCAGGATCATCTGTATCAGAGTTGATTGACAATACACAAGACAGAAGGTTGCGTTTGGACATGACTTCCAATGCCACATGGCATGGGCTTTATGAAGAAGAAGAATCCCACATTGATAAGTGTTTTCAGAGCTAGGTATCTTTTTTGCATTCACCAGTTGTAAACTCCTGGGAAAAGTTCTGGTTGTTCATCCACTTCTGGACTTAAGAAGTCTTCCAGAACTTGAGTTCTGCATGCACGTGCATTTTACAAATCTTTCTTCTTTGTATACAGACTGTTGGTTCCTCACTTAGGAGGCTGATCCACTCTGACTTAGAAAAAAAAAGCCACCCTAATTAGTGGACATGCTTGTTTGGGGATCCATGGGTCTATTCATTTTTCCCACATAATGTAGTCCTGGCACCCATATGAGGATAACTGGGTGTAATGTATTACAAGCATATCATAAAAGGTGACTAAGTAAAGGTTTCCCTAAATTGGATGTGTTAGGCTAAAAGGTGCAGATCTTACAGGCTAGCTGTAAACCATAAATAACCTGCTGAATGCCCTTTTAAGGGTGAATGAAGAAGAAAATCAATGTTTTTTTCAAATGTACTAATTGATGTGAAGTGTCTGTTAATTCTGAAGTATTGAGTCTCTTGTCTGCTATCTTCAGGATGTCAGCCACAACATGAGATTGATGACAAACGACTGCTTCAACCTGCAAGATCTCTTTGACACAGTCACCACCTGTACCCTTCTACCAAATATTCTCCTGCCAGCAAAGCCAACAATGGCTGCAGCTTCATTACCTCCCCAGCCAGATTCTGCATCATTGTCAGCTGCCACATCCGTTTCATCTGTAGATACGTCAGCAGCAATCCCTGGGGCTGATGTTTCCTAACTCATTCATTCCATAACATCTTCCATACAATTTGTTGGCACTACGCCAGTCACCTAAGTGCAGTTTTGATGATACACACACAAGTGCCACATGAGTACATTTTCAGGGCTGTTGTTTGTCACTTTACAAAATGCAAAAGGCACACATGTGAATTCCTACTCCAAAAAGGTCAAAATAAGGAAATGTTTTTCTTGCAGCTATGCAATTTTCATTTGCCACTTAGAGAAAAATGTGATTTTTCTCAAAACAAAGATTTCATAGTTTGATGACTTTAGCATAGAGCCAAATGGGTGACTATCCCAGTGACCAAATATTCAGTTTTCTTAAGAGTTCTTTTCTTCCTTCTTCTTCCTTTTCATTTTTTCTCTGTTGTCTTTTTTAGAAACCTGCTCTGGAGATTAATTGGTGGTCATAATTGTTCAGTTCTCACAGAGTTGACAGGTTTATAATTTGTTGAGTATTTTAGTTTACTAACTATTACTTCATTCAGAATTTTACCTTAAAGGTGATTACCTGTTAAAATTTGCATTCCGAGAATCAGTATTACGTTTCACTTTACATAAATCATTTTAATAAAATCATGATTGTTTACATTTTGATTTTCTGTTCTTTTTGAATATTTTGTTAAAAATTGCATGTTGTGTGGAGGCATGATCACCCACGCCATTCACCAAGACGCTTGATGATGATTATTTTTGTTTCTTCAAATTGTAAGCTGACTAATATGTGTGCACATATATGGGTCAATTTAAAAAATTCAAATGAATAATGCTGCTGCATATTGTGGGTAGCATGGAAATGTTATGTTATCATAATCGGTGTTACAGCAAATTGGGCATTCCCATGCATGCTCAACCCTCTGATTCACTGGCCATTCAAAGTTGCCTCTACTGATTGTTCCTATGAGGAGCCTGGTTATAGTGTCTCCTATCTTGCCCTTAAAGATGTCATAGTTGTGCTTTGCATGCTTTACTCCCGCATCACATAATTGTGTTAGCATCAGAGATTTGTCATTATCTATTAACATTGTCTGAACAGCGTTGATGATATCTGCTCTATCCATGCTTCTTCCCGCGTGCATTGGTGCATTGTTTACTAGTTAGTCCAATTGCTCCCTAACTTTCATACTGACATGCTTAGGTGAATAGATCCAGGTGATGGAGGTTAAGTGCGATTTGTGAATGCTTTCTACCTATTCAAAGCATATATTAACTGTTGTGATTTTCTGAAGCATGTTCATGGATTGGAACAATTACTGTATGTGTGACTTCTTGTTTTGCTGCACATTCTAGTTCTCTGGTAGCAGCAGTTATCTTATGCTTAACATAATGCGTTGTAAGCACCACTATCCTCTCTAATTGTGTATATAATAATTTATAATATAACTGTTAAATGATTGAACAGGCTTTCAGGAATTTGAAGTCAGAGTACATCTGCCTGAGAGGAAGGAACCAGCAGTTTGCATACAGATAAGCCAGATCTGTAAAACTGATTTGCATGCAAAACTCTAGTTCTGGAACGAGACTAAAATCCAGAAGTAGACAAAATATCTAAACTGTCGGCTGGAGTTAACAGCCAGTGAATGTCAAATATAACTTGTAGATCAAATGAAGATCTGCGTCTGGTTACTTCTCATCCTTGAGGTGTGGAGAATATATGTAGATGTTAGTTGATTAATTTAACTGTGTGTGGAGATGAGTGAAGTAAATGAGACATATGTAGCTGTTTGTTGATTTGGGCATGCTTGACATAGTTGCCTGGTAAGCACCCCTAATTTCTTTTATTTTTGTCCCCATCCTTTGTGCTGTGTATGCCCATGCTGACCTTGATCCACGCTTCACTAATCCATCAGTGTAGTTGAAGATTTTTTCTGTGTGTGAATGCTGATCTATCAGTTCCCTTACCTCTGTTTTTACGGCTGCAGGAATCTGATTCCTGCAGTACCTGCCCAGTGTGATGACAACCTTAGAGATGCGCATGTCTACTGGTGTATTTGTCCATTCTTTTTCATGACTGACTGATCTCGTCTAGGTCACCTACCAGCTGGTTTTATTGAGACGCATTCTTTTTGTGTCATGAACTGAAATTGCATAGAATGATAGTGTTATTTGTTAATCTGTTTCATTAAGATCCTTCTCCTCAGTCTCCCTATTGGGGCAGCAAATTTTGTTAGATTTCATCGCTGGCAGTTTATTTCTACACTGATACTTTCAAAGTTTGTGATTTTAATTTAGTCCTTGCTAATTTGCCTAGGTTTTAGGCTTTTAACAACAGATCAACATAACGGCACAAGGGTAGTAACCCATAAGTGCTCCATTCTACTTCTAACAAGTCTGAGTTGAAAGAAGCTCAGCACATTGCACAGGCTCAGTAGCACCGGTGAGGATCCTGAAATATTTTGGGTAGATTTTAAACTCCAAATTTCACCACGGCAGCGCAGTTAGTCTACTTTTTTCGATTTCCAACTGCCAAGGGAATTTTTACATGCACAACATTGCACAGGGGCGTCCGATTTCACTACCCAGAGCCCAGGGAGAACTACTAAAAGTCCAAGTCCGCGTGAAAAAATCCCAGCCCTTACGGGAGATTGAACCCGGAACCTCTAGCACTCAAGGCAGACCCATGGCCTTGAGACCACGCAGACCCATTAATTTCCCTGATGTCCTTGCCGATTAAAGTCGCCACGCCACCTCCAGTTCCTATCTCCCTGTCATTTCTGAATATTTTATATCCTGGCCATTTGACAGTTATTTTTTGGTTTTAAGAATGTCTCATCCAAGGCTGTGATATTCTTCTCGCCTGTGTAGGTCTTTCCTCATAGCATTGAGATTTTTTGTCCTCTGCACTTAAACTGAATTATGTGCAAATCCGGTTTATTCATTATGTTAGTAAGAATTTTATCAATCTAAGGCGCTTTGCTTATTCTGATTTTTGGCTTCTTTCCTGACCGTACTCTTCTTTGGCTGGCCTTATTACTCCTGGAATCTCTGTATGGAAAGTAGAGGTGGCATGTTTGCATGAAAACAGATATACACATAGGCGCATGAAAAAGAAACGCACACAAAAATGCAAAGGGCCTCACACACACAATGATGTTAGTGAAAGTACAAAGTGAACATGTAAAATTGGGAATCTAAAAAGAAAAATGTATGTATTTTTTTCAAATTTGAGTTAAAAGTTAAGGTAAAATAATACCACTGTAACAACGGGATTGTTACGTTGGAGGAAGAGATGTTACACTTGTGGGAAGCTGGCCTGGTTTGCGATGCCACACTGGTTGTCCTTGTTACGAGACATGTAGATGTAGCCCCTGTCTCCCCAATATGTGTTCCAGCTGGAAGGGTGGAGAAAGTAAGTGTCAGTTGGTTTATTGCACTGTGTGTATGAGGGAAGTAAAGGGAAAGTGCTTAGGCGTCCGTTGATTTATTTAAGTGTGTGTGTAGAGGTGAGGGAAATAAAAGGGATATGTGACAGTGTTGGTTGGTTTGACTTGTGCGTGGAGGAAGTAAAGGGACATTTGGTTGGTTTATTTCATTGTGTATGTGGAAGTCTGGGTGCGAGAGAGGTAAAGGGGACAAATATAGGTGTTCGTTGCTTTATTTTATTGTATACATGTGGTAGTGTGAGGGAAGTAAGGGGGACATGCGTAGGTATTAGTTCTTTAATTCATTTATCCGCATGATGGAGAAGTAATGACGATGAAATTACCTGCGTGGAGTAGAGTATTGAGAAAATAGTTATGTGTCATCTCCACAAGGAAGGTTGGCCACATTGCGCCCAGTATTGCATGAAAACCACATCAGTGGTTTCTATTTTAAATAAACTGTCCACCACACAAATCAAACCGTAGTTGTTCCCGAGGAAAGGGAGATTAATAAATGTTAACCTCTAAGCTGCAAAATATGAAAAAGGGCAAATAAAGATACTAGTAGACACTCAAAGGAAGAGGAAAAGGCATCAAGAGCAGACCAACAATATATCAGAGTGTTATCGCGTATCAGCATAGCTAATGTTAATGTCGACAGCATTGAGTTAATGCGTATATCCCCAAGTTGGTCATGGTTAGGGGTTTGGGGAATAGATCCACTGCTTCCCTAGCATGTATGTTTTAAAAGGTGGCTAATTAGGGGTGTTATATATAGAGTCGGAATGCATCTGCTTGAGAGGCGAGGAACAGTCTGCATACAAATGAGCCTGATGTGTAAAACGGATGTGCACTCAAGCCCAAGCAGAGAAATGGAAGAACTGTCAGAACTTTCGTCCGCAGTTTATAGCAGTTGAATGGGAGAGGAGCGAATAGATGAATAAATCCAGAATTAACTTCCCTGCACTCGCAGTTATTCCCAGAATAAATCCTGAATTCCTATAACTGCACTCGGGAGGTTCCCATACTTGCCTCGTCTCCTTCCTCAGTGCTCCTGCTCGTTGATGGCCTGGTCAACGACAAGTCAGCATGCTAATAGTACCAGTTGAAACCTGTATAAAAGTCCGCTTATGCTTTCCCCTTAGTGCTGAAAATCCCCCCCCCCCCCCCCAGAACCTCTACTCCTCTGTCCATTGAATTCGTTTTTTTTTTTTTAAATCTATGGATTCTCTGCCTGTTCTATTGCACTGTTCATTTGATCCCACTAAGCCTTTACCACGTCCGCTGTGTTATAAAGCTGCTCAACGCCCAGACGGGCAACAGCTGCCAGTCTGTCATTCTGCTAATTACCTCCCACATCTGAATTACCTGGACAGAAGTCCATTTTATGTTCCTGCTCTGAGTCGTATTATATGGTGCAAGTCGCTAAAGGCTAAGAGCTGCCGTTTCAGTTTTCCGAAGCATGCTCTGTGAGTCCGTTGCAATTAACACATGTCGGGCTGTGATGCTCTTTGGCCATGGGAAAGCTGCCGTTACCTCCTTTACCTCCATTCTCATAGTGGATGTTGGGAACGTTATAAACAAGGCTGTGATTAAGAAGAATTAACTGGTATGTAGCGACAAGTAGCAGATATCCACTGTATGTTTCCGCCAGTGGAAAGATGAACAAAAGAGTAAATTAAAACAAACCTTTATATATCACAGATTCAAAATTTGTTTTACGGATCATACTATGAAAAGACTAAAATAAATTATTTTATTACAAAGACAGAGTATAGTGGCAGGAGATAAACAAATATCCACGTGAATTTAACACATACAAAAAGAGTAAATTCAGACAGTCCAATAAATAAGAGAAATAGACAAAGAAGCGGTAGATAACAAACAGGAAGTAGCAGAAGAAGAAAAACAGGGTTAAGGGGGAGGGGAAAAGGGTTGTGGGAGGGGGGGGGGGGGGGGAAAAATGGATATAAGAAAAGTATGTCTTCTATTGTTTTCTTATTGTTCACTGACGGTAGACTCCGGCAGTGAGTGCTTCTTTGTTTTTTTCTTTTGTAGACTTTGAGCTTGTTTGAGAAGTTAAGTTTTGCATTCATATCCGTTGAAAAGATCTGTCTTATCTGTTAGCCGACTTCTGGTCCCTAGCTACTCAGAAGCGCTCCGACTTCGAAGAAAACACCCTTAATTAGTTCCCTTTTACGACATGCTTGTTAGGGGGTAGTCGATCTTTCATTTTGTTTTTCCACAAATGGGCTCCGGAACCAACATCAGCAGCAGCAGCAGCAGCAGCAGAAGTCCTTGGCAGTATTCACTGTTAGACTTAGTTCCTGCCAACTCCGTCTTTCTGCGGGACGCAATATTTTTTAAATTCCCACTCCGGCTGTCGTCAGAGGTTCTAATATAACCTAATGATTTAACGGGATTTCTGGGACTTGCACTTGGGGAATTCTTATCCGAATGGTGGCACTTTGTGTCACTATGTGTTAATCACTCATTGTGCTGTCCTAGTGGTGTTGAATGTCCCTCACTCACCTACCGACATCTACAGCAACTCTTCCTCACTTTAATCCAAGTCACCGTGCAAGTCACTCTTTCATCTTCACTTGATGAAAAAGGGTGGTCATCACATCTTGATGAACAACAACACTGTCACACTGAGTTAATGCCCGTCTCTCTAGCGTAGTTGGCTAAACCGGATTGCGCGGTGAGCGGGTGACGAACTCCTTGTGGTCCGGGTCCGAGTCCTGTTCTTTTTCTTCTCTATAATAGGGCTTCGGGACCCACACGGGGAATAATATATTTTAAACATAATGAAACGGATTAACAAGCCGTTCTTGAGGAAAATTGTATACAGTATATGGATAAAAACCCAGCCCTGAGTGGGTACCAGGTAGAATCCTGGGGAGTAAAGGCGGCCGGCATAATGCTGATTACATCACTCACCAAGTGCCGATTGGTGTATTCATATATAGGTCTAGCCATATATGTAAAATACACATAAAAGGCGTGGAAAAGGGTCCCATACTTTGCTTGTACTGTACTTTTATACGGATAAATGTCGCTGCTTAAACCCGGGGTTGTGGCCAGTTCTAGATGTTCTGGGGTCGTTAAAAGCATCAGAAAGCCAAGAAAGCCAGTCTTAGCACCCTCTAAAATGTTGGACTATCACGTGACGTCATCTGGGGGTAGGATATAAATAAAGAACCACCCAGTGTGTTCTACGCGAGCGCATAATAATAATTACCTCCTCTGTAAAACTCGAACAATGGACTGTCTGAATCAACAGCCACGCCCACTGGGCCGATGTTTCCGACGGCGAATTTCAGTGCCCTTTCACCTCCGTAGACCCGGTAACAGGAACTGATGTTGGCTAACAGCTTTGCTCCTGTCGAACCTGCACTGGCCTTCCTGCAATAGAAGATTTATGTACAGTTGTTATCTTATTCTCTGAGGTTCCCAGCTGCTGGAGATGTGGCACCAGAATGCTTTGCGCCGATTTTGGCAATGGTGTGGAGTGCCGAAAGCTCAAGAAGCGTGGCAAAATACTGAATGTAAATTTTGCCTGTATTATCATAGCCAAAAAACACAAATTACCCAAAAATTATGGGATTTGTCGTTATTGTTCTGTAAAGGATACGCATCTAACTCATTTTACCACTGTCTGCACATCAGATCTATATGCTGCTGTTTTTGTGTGTGTGTGTGTGTGTTGATATATGTCATTACTCTTTACATGTTGGGGCTATAGGATGGTATGTTACTCACTTCTGTTGCACATTATCGGTATCTACATAGCAGAGTTATATTATACAGGGTGTATGTTTAATTAGTGAATGTTTTTGAAAACAATTAGGTCAGATAGTTGGAGATCATTACCCGGCTGTAGAGTGAGACAGTTGGAGAATCATTACCCGGCTGTAGAGTAAGACAGTTGGAGAATCATTACCCGGCTATAGAGTAAGATAGTTGGAGATCATTACCCGGCTGTAGAGTAAGATAGTTGGAGATCATTAACCGGCTGTAGAGTAAGATAGTTGGAGAATCATTACCCGGCTGTAGAGTAAGACAATTGGAAAATCATTAACCGACTGTAGAGTAAGATAGTTGGAGAATCATTACCCGGCTGTAGGGTAGATCATTACCCTGCTGTAAAGTAAGACAGTGTCAGCGTAAGATAATTGGAGAATCATTATCCGGCTGTAGAGTAAGATAGTTGGAGAATCATTATCCGGCTGTAGAGTAAGATAGTTGGAGAATCATTACCCGGCTGTAGAGTAAGACAGTTGGAGAATCATTACCCTGCTGTAGAGTAAGACAGTTGGAGAATCATTACCCGGCTGTAGAGTAAGACAGTTGGAGAATCATTACCCGACTGTAGAGTAAGATATTTGGAGAATCATCACCCGACTGTAGAGTAAGATAGTTGGAGAATCATTACTCTGCTGTAGAGTAAGATAGATGGAGAATCATTACTCTGCTGTAGAGTAAGATAGTTGGAGAATCATTACCCTGCTGTAGAGTAAGATAGTTGGAGAATCAATACCCGGCTGTAGTATGATAGTTTTAGATCATTATCTGTGGAGCCGGCTGACAAATCACTTGAACGAGAGGAGACAAAAGTATACAAATGTTTACCTTTTCTTCGTATGGGTATGCAGATTCCTCTTCTATTCCTCCATTGTCAATAATGTACTGAAATGCATAATCGGCCGCGCCTCCTTTACAACCTTTGTTACCATAGCTACGAGAACAGTCCACTACCTGCTGTTCTGATAGGGATATCAGGTTACCTGTCTTCTTAAACCATTGACCTTCCACAGCTCCTGTCTAAAAGTGAAAAAAAAATATGTTAAATATATAGTAAAACCACGAGAACACGGATTTCAAGGCACTGAACAAATAAATTGAAGATCGTGTTTAAAAAATTTGTGCTAAACTGAGTTTGGAAACTTAAACATTCCTAAGCTCCATTCACACGCAAGTGAGCATTGGGAATGTGAAGCTAGATCCAATATTTGTATTAGGCCCCGATGGGTGATGTGGTCAACTTCACTCCAGCCACTATTCCCTGGGCCTTTTCTATTTAAGGCTGGGTCGACCTGGGAGCCAACGTCATGTTCGAAAATAAAATTGAAGCACCATACGGAATTTAAACCCACGACCATCGAATCTAGTATATCCCTGCTGGGAACAAAGTTTTATTCACGTTAACCGAATATGTGGTCTCGGAGATTTGGTTTTGCAGACGAATCCTTAAACATTCCTTGGACAGCTAAAAAGAGCAACCCAGAGGATTAAGAAAAAGGCGACGACTTAAAGACAACTTATCACAAACATTAGAAAGGGGCAGTCAAAACTTTTTTAAGAGGAAGGGGGGGGGGGGGGTGGATGATATGAGAAAAAGGAAACTGGAACATGCACCACTGTACTGTGAAAAAGAAAGACAGAGGGAGACAGCGCAAAAAGACAGTCTTTTGACATTTCATGGAGAGGTTTTGCCCTTTTTATTTCAAGACGCTACGAACTGTTAATCAAATGTTGCATTCACTCAGTTGTCCCAGGCTCTGGTTGATTGTTGTTGCAGACACTCAGATCTGTCCCACTCTGACGTCAGCATTGTTGCATTTGACTGAACTGATAAGCTCTGATGTTAACCAAATTCACTCAGAGCTGTCCTATAAGCTCTGACGTCAATCAATGTTGCATTCACTCAGAACTGTCCTACAAGCTCTCATGTTAATCAATGTTGCATTCACTCAGAACTGTCCTATAAGCTCTCATGTTAATCAATGTTGCATTCACTCAGAACTGTCCTATAAGCTCTGACGTTAATCAATGTTGCATTTACTCAGAACTGTCCTATAAGCTATCCTTCCTATCTTCAACATCGAGCGTAGAGTTCCATTACAGAAGGTACCACCAGCAGTTTGATTGTATGTCCGACTTGTCCTTCCGCTGAGTGCAAAGTGTTAGCCAGATCCCCCTGACCACTGACCCACTGCACCATTCTCCGCACACCGTAATGATCTGTTCGTGATTTCGCACTTTTCATCTGCTCCCAAAGTCCTTGACCATATCTAGCTTGTCATGCATCAATGCCTCATTCATAGGCGCAGAGCCAGCTACTCTGTCCGTCGGTTCGTTTCCCAACACACCCATATCTGCAGGAGCAAGGATTAAAAGATACTAACTACCAGGGACCTCCGAAACTGTGTTTGCCACTCTGCATGGAGCATACAGTTTCCATCATTCTCATCATGCTCTGTGAGGTACGTAAGGGTATGTATATGGGTCTCCCTGAAGCATAATTCAGATCACTGTCTTTACCGCCTGCATTTACCCATTGTAATGATATGTTATGTTATCATAATCTACGTCTTTGCACATTGGGCATCCCCATCCGTGCTCAGTCTTCAGAGGCAGCAGTCAGTCCAAGGTACCTCTACTGACTGTTTCCATGAGGAGTTGGTTATAGTATCCCCTGTCTTTACCTCGAAGACAACATAGTCGTACTTGAGTAGGAGGTCGTGAGGCAGAGGTTTTAAGACCCCAGAGCCAGCGCAGTCTCCTCAAACTGTGCAATTTAGGGTTTTCATTTGTGTCCCCCAACAGAAGAGAATTGTCATCTCTAACCAAACACTGAACCCAGGTTTCTGGCATGACTGTCAGCATCCCTAACCAGGGCCAACAGCTACACCTATAATTGGGCAACCGCTACATCTACATCATATTATTGTAGGCTATAATTAAGACATGACAAAGTATTTTATAAGTCCATGTGCCTAAGAGTACAGGTCAGTGACTCTGTTTCAGGTCATTTAGATGAGCTGTGGTCAGTATCACACTAGCTTCTTTTGTTCCTATGCTTCTTATTTCTCTTCTTCTTCCCATTTCTCCTTTGTCTTCTTCTTCTTCTTCTTCTTCTTCTTCTTCTTCTTCTTCTTCTTCTTCTTCTTCTTCTTCTTCTTCTTCTTCTTCTTCTTCTTCTTCTTCTTCTTCTTCTTCTTCTTCTTCTTCTTTTTCTTCTTCTTCTTCTTCTTCTTCTTCTTCTTCTTCTTCTTCTTCTTCTTCTTCTTCTTCTTCTTCTTCTTCTTCTTCTTCTTCTTCTTCTTCTTCTTCTTCTTCTTCGTCTTCTTCTTTTTCTTCTTTTTCTTTTTCTTCTGCATTTTGTAGGAAAGAAGTGAAGAGGAGTGCAGACTTGTACAATTATTTCTGAGAAATTAACCCAGGGAAACACTGAACAGCCGTAAATTACAACTAACTATATCTGATACAGCCTTACGGTTGAGAGTCTTGGACTCTCACTCAGCTATTGAGGAAAAATATTGGAGCTTATGAATTAAAATGTTATAGAAAAATTCTTAGAATACCATGGATCAGGAAGAGGAAAAACATCGACATTCTGAACTGGGTCATAAACAGCATCCTCTCCCGAAAGTTGAAGTATTTTGGCCACATCAAGCGTCATGTTGGTTTGGAAAAAAAGGGCGATGGAAGGTGCAGTTTGTGAAAGGCAAGGCAGGGGTCGACCACCGCAAAGATGGATACAAGATATTGTAGATGCATTGGCAGTGAAAGCACATGGGGCCGGAGAGCTGGCTAGGAAAAGGGATACTCTCAGGCGTGCCGTGAAAAGAGCGACTGTTCTGTAAAGGACTTGCTGACTGATGATGATATATGATACTGAAATATGTATGCAATGAGGGGAGAAGATGTCGAGGCACCGAGATAAGGTCAAGAATTACATTTGAGATTAATTATGAGGGAATGTTTCCTACATCAACGTCAATCCATGTTTGAGTTGGCATGACAGCTGGAGAGCTAAAAACATAGATCAAAAAGGAGATTCCCTATAACCTTTCCAGTAGATAAGTGAGTCGACTGACCAGATAGTCTACGGCAGCTGGGTATGCCAGGGTCACGGGTGTCAGGAATATGATAAATGGCCCACGCTTGGAGAAGGAATAATATAACAAGGAGGCATACAGGAGCAGAGACCAGTGAGAGTCAGGCGTTTAGCTGACAAGTCTAGAATCAGAACTGTAGCTGGCCAGCTCACTACACTCAGGAGAAAGACAAGACGAGCATATAACCAGATTGTGACCAGTACCATCAGTACCGGAACTCTGCATTGGCTGCTGAAGATGAGGACGCAGCATGCATGGGAATGCCCCGGGTGCTCTGACATCTATTCTTGACTCAACTCAACTAAACTTAGAACTGTGGCTGGCGAATTATAGCGGTTTTACTGTATTAATTAAAGAAATGGAAAATAAATAATAGACTTGTTAAAAGTAACTTAGATATTAGATGACACTTCATAAACATCCGATAACAGGCAACAACCTGTTAGAAGTATACAGCATGCGTTTATGCAACTTTTACTGAAGCGTTCGCAGTTATTATTGTTTAATTGTAAATTAACGTGACGCTGGAATTACCATTATGTGTTTATAATAAAATGATCTTAACGGTGTATGAACTGTTGGATCCCCGGCCGTGTTGTTTAACATCATAGACATACTAAGATTATCTTATCTACTGGTTCCGATAAGCATGCTTACGCATAGGGTAAATGGAAAACTAGAGCCACACAGGCGTTAATTGTATCAGACTCCACGAAAATGATTCAGAAGATAGCAACAGGCGGTATGCGCTCTGAATGGGTAGAAAGCATTCGAAAATCATACTTGACCTCCCCCGTCTGGATCTTCACACCTTGTCATGCGGACGTAATAGGTAATGTGCGAGCGGACCAACTGGCAAGCAATTCACCATGGCGTGTAGGAAGAAGCATGGACAGAGCAGATATCGTCGACGCTGTACGGACTGGGCTAGTAGATAATGAGGAATCCCTGACATTAACACAATTGCGTGACATGTGAGTAAAGCATGGTGAAGTACGTCTTTGCGGTCTTCGAGGCAGAGATAGGAGACAATATCACCAGCTTATCATGAGAACAATTAGTAGAAGTACCTTGGAGTTGCTTCTGCATCAGAGGACTGAGCACGCGTGAGAATGCTCAATGTGCTGCGACATGAATTGTGATAACATAACAGGATAGTGTCACAATTTGCTTGGTTCTTCTCTCCGGAGGCAGATGCACCCCGAATTCGAAAGAAACACCTCGCCTTTTACGACACACTTGTTAGAGGAATTGGAATCCACGTGAGTAGTTAGGCAGCAATGGGTCTATTATAGCCACTCAACCCCGCACACCACCAAGAGGGCTTGTAACAAAGCCAGATTTAGACTTGAGGAAGCCCTTCGCTATATAAAGCACTGAGGCCCACACTGTATTAAATTACGCCAGCTAATCTCATAAAACTTTAAAATATATACGCCTTCTAAATATATAGTTAATGGAAATATATTGTCGTTTAAAATATATCAAAACAATGTATCAAATAATAATGCGTCTGACTGATTGACGTTCAACCCCACCAAGACATCACACCAAGCGATAAACACCCGGTGACACAAAGTGCTACCATACGGATCAGGAACACCTGAGGATAGATCTCAGAAACCCAGTTCAATTCCAATTCCAATTTGAGAAACAAAAATTCCAAACGGGATCCTTTGTCAGCCGCCCGTGGGCCTGCTATATGAAGGAATGTTCCTTGGCTATCTTATTTTGTTTCCTTCCCTTTGTGGTGTGAAGTCACATCTTATGTTCCAATTCTTCGTCTTCCTAAGTCCGGTGTGGTATTTGGGGTTCTGTTTCCTGGTCTGATCCGTCTTTCTTTAACTCCTATCACTGTGGGTTTATGACTGTTGCTTGGTTAACTCGTGCTGGTCGCTTATCTGGCGCCCTATCACCGGTGCTGCCACTTTCAACCCATAGGTTGTCTTATATTAAGTCCTCCGGCAACAGCCTGGGTGGGGCTTCAAAACAACAACAACATTTTCATTCCCCCCCCCCCCCCCCCCCCGACTTCCCAATAGCAAAATCATTGATTATGTCTTGAAAAGTCAAGCTGCATAGCAAATAGGCATTGTTGAGGCCCCTTCAGATTAAAATGTTGAATTAAGAATCGACATAACACCTCCATAAGCGCTCTGTCCCCATCTCCAGCAGCAAGAGAAGAGTTAAAATTCCGATGGTACCAGTAGCTGTCTGATTGTATATCCGTCTCGCCTTTCCCCTGAGTATCGAGCGTCGGCCAGACCCTCTTGTAACTCCTTGCAGTGCCATTCTCCTAAGACCGTATTGATCTATCTGTTTCTCGACACTGTTCACTACTCGCTCCCAAATGGCCCTCACAACATCCAGCTTGTCATACATCAGTTCACCCTGCAGATTGTGAGGTCCTAATCTGTAGCTCATTTGCCTATACTTAAATCCAGCACTGTTCTGAACTATACCTGGGAGCTTGTGTTGTAACCAGATTGCGGTAATTTCCAGGGCAGCCACCGGGGCCTGGTTGTCTGCCCCTGACAGTCAATCTATGTGTCTCTGTAATAAAAAGCTTTCCTTGTCGCAATACTGAATCAATGAAGCTACCTCATTGATGGAATAATAATGTATGTGTATACTTACTGTAGCAAACGAATAACAGGATCCGCACTCTTTCTGAAATTTAAAAAAGGAAATAGTTATGAATTTTTATCTGTACACACACACACACACACACACACACACACACACACACACACACACACATATATATATATATATATATATATATATATATCAGAGTATAATGGAACTAACGCTAAATTGAAATATAGAACAGGACACAACCGATTACGTAACCATATACATGTACACAAAATTCAAGATAGGCGTATCGGCCATGTGAACCTGTGAAAAGGTACCCCAGACAGCAGAGCATGTACTCCAGGACTGCACCGAATTTGACACATTAAAGCAAACCTTCTGGCCGGTAGGAACAACAGTGGAACGTAAACTATATGGACCACTGAATGAACTAACAACTACAGTTAAATTTATACAAGAGACAAAACTGCTGATATAGACAATTTATTTCAGGCGAACGAAAGAAGAAGAAGAAATACAACATTTCCACAATAATAAAACAATCCAATTTATAACACGCACTTTGATTTTGAGAACGTAAATTTGGGATGAACGTAATATAATTACATAATGTTAATGAACTGGAGTTTTGTTGATAATAGAATGGAGAAACTCCTCATTACTGTCAAAACTCTCATCATTATGATAGTTCCTTGTCCTCGTCTGTGTATGATAACGAATTACTGTCTGTATGTAGGCCTATTGCCTTATTTTCAGTTCCAAATGTGGCATTTTTCTTCATCTTTTTTCTTTTTCTTTGTTCACAGGCTGTAATTTTCGACGGAAAGCACTGGCTGTTCGTCCATCTGGACTTTGGCTTTGTGCCAGGGCCTGAGTTTTGCGTACATCCATTTTACTGGATTATTTATGTGCAGTTGGCTGTTCCTTGTCGCTGGGACAGATGTACTTTGACAACGAAGGAAGTCCCCAGTTAGTCGACACCTACGACATCCTTGCTCGGAAGACAGTAGGTCTATTCTTGAGGCTGGTTATAAATACCCAGGTGCTTAAAGTGTGATAGGCAGGTGTTACGTGAAATGTATGGGTAACTGTACCACCACGAGTACTGCCAGCAGGGTCGCTGGTGGAGAACCTCGCAGTTTAATACAGTAGCTATCAGTCAGTGAGATAAGATAGACGAATGGAAGTGTGTGAGAAATGTTCTAGTCTCCTCAGAGCGCATAGATTTGTGTTATTTATTTTGCTGGAGCGCGTGGTCTGTACAGTTGAACTTTGTGTATTGGAATTCTGAATGCTGCCAGTAAGGGTAGTTATATAAGACGAGACGGCAAGATCCATATACTTTATCTGACCACTGTGTGATTTGATTGCTCGTGTAAGCAAAGTGTTGGTCAGTGCCAGTGGTTATGTAATCTTCAGGGTCTTTTGATAACATCACTACTTTGTCGGCTTTCCTGAAGGTCAGCACGGCTTATACAGCTATATTTGCTGTTGTAGGCTATATGTGACCCCAGGAGTGGGCAAATAGCCCAATGTGCCTATTGTGTGTTAAATATGACTCCAGGAGTGGGCACTTCGCTAAATAAACATCAATGATCACGTTCAACAAGGCGGGAGAGGGTTGCTCTCCGCCCATTTTGGAAACAACATTCTGCTCACAAATAAGCCACTTAGCCGAATGTGTGTCTATTATGTGTTAAATATGACCCCAGGAGTGGACACTTAGCCGAACGTGTGTCTGTTATAGTTTACATATGACTCTAGGAGTGGGCTTAAGACGAACGTGTCTATTATAGTATGTATAAATATGACCTAAAGAGTAGACAAATAGCCGAATTTAACAATTATAGGTTATATATGACCCCAGAAGTGTGCAAATAGCCGACCGTGTCTATTATAGGTTATATATTACTTCAGGCGTGGGCACTTAGCCTGTTATGGGTTATACATGTTTAGCATGTCGTCCACCAGGCTTAGGGTGGTGGGGTGTTGAAGACTGGTGGGATGATGGGGTGGTGGAGACAGCTGGGTTTAGGTCTTCCTCCTCCACCACCACCCAGTCTCTGTAACTCAAATATGGAGGGCCCCCACACAGTCTCTTTAACTTATACATTGAAGGCCCCTAAAACACCCGATGTGTTCCAGACGGGGTATAGAAAAAATTTAATATTTCTGATACCTTTTATTTTGAGATGACAACAAGTCAACCATCTTGGCAAGAAAATGCATCTTAGAAAAAAATTCCACCATCTTGGGGAAAATTCCACAATCTTGGAAAAAAAATTCTGACTACTTGGGGAAAATTCTGACTTCTTAGCAAAAAATTCTTACTTCTGGGGGTGAAAATTCTGACTTCTAGGGGGAAAATTTCGACATCTTGGGAAAAAATTCCATCTGGGGAAAAATTTCGGCATCTTAAGAAAAAATGTCACAATCTTGGGGGAAAATTCCATCTTGAGAAAAAAATTTCGACATCTTGCGGAAAAATTCCCACCCAGATTTGACGCCCCTGACGACTTAGGAAAAAAATTCTTGGGAAAAAATGTGACCCAGATTTTTTAAGCCTTGAACTCCCGGAAGACCACCAGTCTCCACCACCCCACCAGTCTCCACCACGCCACCAGTCTCCACCAGTCTCCACCACCTCACCAGTCTCCACCAGTCCCCACCACCCCACCAGTCTCCACCACCCCAAGAGTCTCCACCACCTCACCAGTCTCCACCAGTCCCCACCACCCCACCAGTCTCCACCACCCCAAGAGTCTCCACCACCTCACCAGTCTCCACCAGTCCCCACCACCCCACCAGGCTCCACCACCCCAGCAGTCTCCACCACCTCACCAGTCTCCACCAGTCTCCACCACCCCACCAGTGTCCACCACCCCACCAGTCTCCACCACCCCACCAGTGTCCACCACCCCACCAGTCTCTACCACTCCCCCAGTCTCCACCACCCCACCAGTCTCCACCAGCCCACCAGTCTCCACCAGTCTCCACCACACCACCAGTCTCCACCAGTCTCCACCACCCCACCAGTCTCCACCACACCACCAGTCTCCACCAGTCTCCACCACACCACCAGTCTCCACCAGTCTCCACCACACCACCAGTCTCCACCAGTCTCCACCACCCCACCAGTCTCCACCACCTCACCAGTCTCCACCACCCCACCAGTCTCCACCACCCCACCAGTCTCCACCACACCACCAGTCTCCACCAGTCTCCACCACCCCACCAGTCTCCACCACCTCACCAGTCTCCACCACCCCACCAGTCTCCACCACCCCACCAGTCTCCACTACCCCACCAGTCTCCACCACCCCACCAGTCTCCACCACACCACCAGTCTTCACCACACCACCAGTCTCCACCAGTCTCCACCACCCCACCAGTCTCCACCACCCCACCAGTCTCCACCAGTCTCCACCAGTCTCCACCACCTCACCAGTCTCCACCAGTCCCCACTATCCCACCAGTCTCAACCACCCCAAGAGTCTCCACCAGTCTCCACCACCCCAGCAGTCTCCACCACCTCACCAGTCTCCACCAGTCTCCAACACCCCACCAGTCTCCACCACCCCACCAGTCTCCACCACCCCACCAGTCTCCACCACACCACCAGTCTTCACCAGTCTCCACCACACCACCAGTCTCCACCAGTCTCCACCAGTTTCCACCACCCCACCAGTCTCCACCACCCCACCAGTCTCCACCACCCCACCAGTCTCCACCACCCCACCAGTCTCCACCACCCCACCAGTCTCCACCAGTCTCCACCACCCCACCAGTCTCCACCACTCCACCAGTCTCAACCACCCCACCAGTCTCCACCAGTCTCCACCACCCCACCAGTCTCCACCACCCCACCAGTCTCCACCAGTCTCCACCAGTCTCCACCACACCACCAGTCTCCACCAGTCTCCACCACACCACCAGTCTCCACCACCTCACCAGTCTCCACCAGTCTCCACCACCCCACCAGTCTCCACCACCCCACCAGTCTCCACCACCTCACCAGTCTCTACCACCCCACCAGTCTCCACTACCCCACTAGTCTCCACCACCCCACCAGTCTCCCCCACCCCATCAGTCTCCACCACTCCACAAGTCTCCACCAACCCACCACACTAAGCCTGGTAGACGACATGCTAAACTAGTCTCGTATTTCAAAAGCAATAATTATAGGCTATGGTGATCCCAAGAGCAGGCACATAGCTGAAAGTGTCTGTGTTATGGACTGACGTCAAGTCAAGAATAGATGCCGCCTTTTAAGATGTCTGTCAATATGTGTACTGGGCAACAATTAGCAGACAGTCAGTGTTCATTCATTGACAACCAATTCATTGTTACAATGTGTTTGTCCATAAATAAACGAGACTGCGCACAATCAGACCCACGTTGAGAAAATCCGAGAATAATATCACTAGAATGTCTTTGCACTAGAACCCACAGGAGCATGGGAAAAAAAGGAAGACCAAACTACATGGAGAAGGGAACTAGAGAGTGAAGTTAAAAGATGGTCAGTACCTGGGGAGAGCTGCATGCAATAGCGAAGGATAGAACAACAACCTAGCTTGAGTTGGTTGAGGGCCTATACTCCATTGGAGGAAAGAATGCGGAAGGAGAGGAGTGTACTTTTAGAACACACTTGGAAAGATACAATATAGCGCTCTTGGGAAGTGTCGATGATCACTTGTATTTGGCTTGTTGTGGTGCTCCTGTTGTTATTGTACTCTTTTCTCTCCTGTAGGAACCCAGTCTTCGTTTTTCGTCTAAGAGAACTCTTGTGATTGTGATCTGAAAATAATCATACTCTGGACAACTGTGCCAGGAGTACGATGCCTCCGATCCCCAGTATCACTTACTACAGTTACATTACTGGTTTTTTTTTTTTTTTTTTTTTTTTTAAGAGAAAAAGTAAAACATGTTAAGACAATTGGAAAGATTTATAGAAGGAGATAAGGCAAGAGACGATTTATGACAAATTATGGCAACGAAAGGTGACCCCTGAAACACGTCCAGTCGATAGTGTACTTATGGTTAGCTATGGTGCACGTTTTATTCGAAATCGAAGTCACATCACCCAGGAAATAAAATGCCGCGCACAAATCAGCCATATTTGAAAAATGGATGTGCACCAAGCCATAGTCTAAAAGTAGACAGAAAGCCAGACACACCCCTTCCCTTTTTTTTAACTCTACCCCTCGGAGTTTACAGCCTGCAAAGACAGAGAGAAAGAACTCCAAAGTCACCCACTGCATTTTAAATTTCAAGAGAGAACAAAAAACAGACTGAAGCGTCAGAGCCCCAACCACATTGCTAGAGAACTGTACAGACAGCACCAAGATCTGCTTGAAAGAGATGTAGCTCTGTGCGAAAGACTTAGGCCAGAACCATGGACAAGCAAGCCAGAGAAGGCAAATGTAGTTCTAAAGGTACCAGGGATCACTTCAAAAGATGCCCAGACGGAGACACAACAGAGAACCATGGCTCTTGCTATGTTTGATGAGAAGTATCCAAACACCACTTGGACTCAGGTTTTCACCGACGGCTCTGCTATAGATGCAGTCAGAAAGGGGAGTTGTGGAATATACATTAAACCCCCTAGCAGTAGAGCAGAAACTCTCTCTCTCTCTCTCTCTCTCTCTCTCTCTCTCTCTCTCTCTCTCTCTCTCTCTCTCTCTCTCTCTCTCTCTCTACCAGGAGGTGACATCTGCACTAACTTCAGAGCTGAGGCAACTGCCCTCCTTTCTGAAGTCCAACATCTCATCACTCAAGAACACAGAGGGCACAAAATTGTTATACTTAGTGACTCATTGTCTGTTCTCCAAGCACTATCAAGCAAAAAACAAGACAAACTAATTGCAGATCTAAGGACCAACATTGGCTTACTCTCCAAGGAAGCATAACTGGTCTTGCAGTGGATACCAGCCCACTGTGGTATTCAAGGAAATGAGAGAGCAGATAAGTTGGCAAAAGCTGGGAGTAATCTTCCACAACCTCATCCACCACACAGCTACAAGGAAACCAAAACAGCACTAAAGCAGTCTTTCAAGCGGGAGTGGAGAAAGCAGAATAGAGATTACAGACCAGAGAGTGACAGCCTAAACAAACTCAACAGGAAAGAACAAACATCAATTTTTAGACTTCGGACTGGACACTGTGGTCTTCGAGCACACCTGTACAGGATTGGCATAACAGAATCTGCTGCCTGTGATTGTGGAGCAGAAAGACAGACCCCTGAGCACATACTGCAGTACTGCCCTTACCTCTCCCAGCAAAGACTGTGGATCTGGCCCAGGGGATCCACATTGCGAGAGAAGCTATGGGGGACCGGTGGCGACCTTAAACGCACAATCCTATTTTTGACCCATACGGGACTCAATGTGTAGCATGACTGATGTCGAACGCAGAAGAAGAAGAAGAAGAGAGAAAGAAAGGCCTATAATAAGACAGGTAAAGAGGCATAAAGACGTCTTTGGACATACACACACACAAGAGTGAACCATTGCAACACCTGACATTTTTACCTGGTCTTTGACTGGAGTAACATAACCCAGTTTTCTCCAGTCCTGGGACTTTGGGGCGTCTTTGGTTGGAGGGAAATAGGGAGGGCATGGCCTGTAGTTGGTTTTGTTCACAAGAAAACCATTTAAGGCGCGGTACTCCTCGTGGCTCTGTGTGTGACAGAGATAAACAAGAGTTAAAATTCTATCAAGTATTAAACTATCAGCACCATTCAAAGCTTCGTGTCTGATCATAGGTACTGTAATTTGCCCTAAACAAAATAAATAACGAAGTGTCTGGGAAAGTCCAATACTTTAGGGGTGTTATGAGTTGAGGTTAGGGTTAGATTTAAGGTAAGAGTGACTCAAGTGTCTCAGAGACGGTTGGGGTTGAAAAAGATCTTATACCTAACCAAAACCTGTAGAAAATGGGCTGTCCGTGATTTCCTTTGTTGAGTGTTAAAAAAAAGTACCGATGATATTTTGTTTGGGTACTGGGCAATAAATAGAAATATTTTTTATAACGCTACATCTGCTCATACTGGAGAAATCTGGCTAGATCTTTTTATATTCTTTGAGAGCCGCGTTAGTGCAGCCGATAGGAGGCTCGCATTCAAATCCAGCTGCGACTCGCTGCAGCCCCGGCCAGTGTTCGAAACCGGACGGTTCCCGGGGTTCACCCAGCCTCTAGGAAATGGGTACCAGTCGCTGTAGCTACAGAGTTACGTGGGAACAGCAACAAAGGCCGACAGGTTCTTATCAGCTGTCCGTACTGGTGGTAGAGCACTTATGGTTTATAACCGTGTGCAATGACGCTGGTTCACATCTCCTGACTTTACTTTTATACCTTTTTTATCTTCATATTTTGTCTAGTCTTACTCTAGCTCCGTGTTCGTTGTATTTCTTTACCGTAGCTCTCTTTGGCTGTCTGCTGTGGTTCCTCTGGGTGGTGAGCTACTGTATAAAAAAAGCGGACATGATGAATGTTTGTGTAGGATCACGTGGACTTTGCAAAAGAACATACTGTGCATCCATACAATAATGTATCAAATAAAAATGATAATAATAATAACAGTAATGAAAATGTGCTGAATGGCAAATAAATGTGTTAATATTTTAAACATCATAGGAAACCTCAAAGATAAAACTTCTATGCGTACTGGGAGAAAAGGTGGGGGGCTGCTCAAGGTGCTGAGTCGCCCAGGTTCCAGGGCCTATGATCCGCCCTCTCCTGACCTATGTGAACCTGACCTATGCGCCACTGAATGACAAGGATCCTACACTGACTAACTTATAACGAAAATAATCTGGCAACTCACAAGGTCAGCAAAATGGTTGATGTCCAGGTAGAAGGAGGAATGGCCGTTGTGGTACTTCCAGTTGTGCAGTTCGATGAACTTGACGTTCTCCATGAAGATACGGTACCGACTTTTCTCCTCTTCTGTGCTTGCATACTGCTTGCCTGTTAGGTGGAAGCGTCATAGAATTTGTTAAATAGATTTAGAAACTTGAACCAATTGGATAATGAAGACTCTGAGCTTTTGGAATTGAATGTAATATTTAAATTTGCTCATTTGCCATTTTATAATGGTGTTAATATTAATTGTGATATCTTATTCAACCCATCTATGTTATAAGTGGCATAATTAGTTTCACTCATGACCATCTGACTGGAGCCGGTCGTGATTTCACTACTGCAAACTTATGCTTGTCCATCTTATTATTTGTATCATTATTATTATTTTTTTTTTTTTGGTTAATTTAATGTAGCATAGATTATGTATTATTTATTGAGTATAGGTAGTTAAGTTTAATGTTATGTGAGTGTGTTTTGAAAAATTTGAAAAAATATTGTATAATATATCTTTGGGATTATTTAAATTGATCTGGAACACCACTAATCTGTCTAAAGATGTATGAACACATATCATATTCTACAAGTAGTTATGTACTGTTTAATCCTTTCCTTCAGTTCTCTGGAGCCATCTATCCCCAGCATGTTTTGTGTTGTCACAGGTCTAATTCAGTAATATATTCACTAGGGGAAGTCCTTTGTTCATATTTCTTGCAGTGTAGTGAATAGTGGTCTATGCTATTATGTTGCTGACATTTCGAGCAGGTTTCTTCTGATACAGTAAAATCAGCCCCTCAGTGTAGCAGTCTAATTAAATGTATATTGTGAGGAATTTTTTTTACGTCATCGATCGACGGATCAGTTTGTCCCCCCCCCCCCCCCCCCCCACGGCTGCTGCATAAATGTTTACCTTACCGGTACGAGATTGAAAAATCTCAGTCTGGACGGCAGACAAACACAGAATACCCCGTTTAACTTCCAGAGAAGCTATAACGACTGCACCAGTAACAGCTGGACCACCAGCCTGGTGTACCATCAGTCCTGTGCGGCTAAGGATGGTTTTTTTAGTTTATTTAACATTTTCGTCTTGGAGCTTTCAGCACTGTGCATGCGTATCTTCCCTTCAAGCTTTCCTCCAACCTCCTGTCAATTTTTATTTTTTTTATTTTTTTATAGTTACTGGTTTAAAATCATCCTTAGGTATAGCTAAATATATTATGTTATTTGCTCTGCCTTTCTTTTCTTTTCTTTTTTCTGCCTGTTCACTTCCTTCAGTTCCCACATAATTAGTACGCAGCATCCTCTTTATTTTCTAGATAAGTTGTAGCCAAGAAGATTTCCTAGACAGTGTCGTTTCTGCTCTGGGGGTAAAAGTGGGAGGGAGGGGGGGGGGTGTAATCACCTACCATTTTTAGTGCCATCAGAACAGCAACTATTTCTGTAGTCATGATTGAACTATTTTTGCCAAGGTGAAGTTCTTCTTGAATTTCCATGTTTGGATTTTAACTCCGATCCTTCTGCATATAAAGTTAGACGAAATGTGAACCTTTGCTGTATGTGGCTATTAGCCTCATCTCTTTAAACCAAATCGACATTTGTGTTGACTTACCTGAGTCTGACTTTTCCAATCGACTATTTAAAAAAATGACACGCTGCAGTAAAATGGACGTTGAGAAAAACACTGTAGCTATTGTAGCATTCCTATACATATTCAAGGGCCAACATTTCTTCTTCTTCTGTCTTGCTATCCCCCAATGGAGCATAGGCCCTCAACCAACTCACGCCAAGTCGTTCTATCCTTTGCCATTCCATGGAGCTCTCCCCATGTCCTCCCCATCTTTCTAACTTCACTCTCCAGCTCTCGTAAACATGTGTTTTTTGGCCTTCCTTTTTTATTCCAGGTGCCAATTCTGGAGGTTTTCCTAGCTGAGAGGAGGTACGTTAACGATCTGGACTCCTTACGGCTTCCTCCACACCGTGTCATACTTCTTCTGTTTGAAGAGCCTCCCCTCATCTTGGTTGACTAGCTTTTACTTGCTTCTCTTTTTGACTTATCTATGGTTGGTTGGTTTTTGTGGCTATGGTTTTTACAGGATGAGGTAGCCAACCTAAAGCCCAGCCCTACCCCTAGTCGCCTCTTACGACATGCATGGTAGTGTGCAGTGTCACTATTCTTTGCTTCCCGTGAGGTTCCCGGTGACACACGGACGGGGCCAACATTTACATGTTGCTATTTGCTGCCAACAACAACAAAAAGCAGTTAACTTACTGTGAGTGATCTTGAAGTTCTCCCAGGTCTCGTGGTAATCAGCATACGACAGCTTGTACTGAGCACCTCCTGCAGGAGCATCTGGCGGAGCAGCTTGGGGTTTGCCAGTGGCGTTCTGGTGGAGATTCTCTGCAGGTTCCTCAATCTTGAAATGCTTCACGAAAGCCAGCCCGGATAGAACAGGAGATACCACAGTCAGCAATACGACGAAAGTCAACATATTTGTAGAATTAATTGCCTAAGAAAAGGAACAACTTAAATTACGTTGTTAATGTAGTATTTTAAAAAGAAAAAATGACATATATTGAAGACAATTATTTCAGGGTAAATGTTGAAATTAGGGCTGTACCGAATATTCGCTTCGTATTCGCTTCGGGGCCGAATAGTGGACCTATTGACTATTCGGTATTCGGCCGAATAGTTGCGGTCGGGCCGAATACGAATAGTAGTTACCGTACACCCGCTTCTGCATACACTGCCTTAATGCTGACAACATGGAACGATTGGTTTTGTTCAAAGTTATTGCAGCTTTCCTGCATTAACTAAGCTGTCAGTGACAATTTCCAAGTTTAGTTACTTGTTATAATACTTAGGAATCGTTCATTTCTAGTAATTAGTTACCACAGACTGACTGAAGGATGCAAAACATAAAATGTTTTTAAATGTTTACGAATACTAACTAGACATGGAAAAATATAAACTCCGGCCACATCCAAGTCGATAATATGAAAATCAAACGAACGGAAACATGTAAGTACTTGGGTGCAAACTTCAACTGCTCCAACATGCTGATAGAAGAAATACAATCTAGAATACAATCTAAAAATAAAGTATACTATGCCCTTCAACATCTGCTGAAGTCAAAGTGTCTGTCTCGCAACACCAAGATCAAAATATATAAAACGTTGAAAAGACCAGTCGTTTTATATGGCTCTGAAACTTTAAGCAGAAATAAAAGAGATGAGGCCTTATTACAGGTTTTCGAAAACAGTCTTAGGACAAATCTTTGGACCCATCAAAGATGCTAACAGCGGGGAATGGAGAGTGAGAAGCAACAACGTAACACATAATCTGTTTAAATCACCACTGTAGTGAGTCATTTTCTCCCCATTAATTTATGCCCGACAGATGACGTCAGTAATAAATGTAAGGGGGATGTTTTGACTGACTGAGATAACACGAGATTTATGTCTTGAGTTTCATGAGAGACATCTGAAAGTCAGGTTTTATGTGAAACATGATTGTTCACGTGAACCATGAAGGTTGACTGGCAGGCTTCGTGTGAAATGCGAATTATCACGGGGCCAGACACAACTTTCAACGGTGGGGAATTCGTGAGAATGAAGTTATACAGAATTTTCGAGAAAAAACATGACAGATCAGAGGGCTATATAATAGCGGAGAAAGGTTTGAGAGGCAGTCTCGTTTTGGATCCAGGAACCAGTGCGCATGGACAGGAAGACGTGTGTTGAGCGGATGTGGTCCTATCCAACTTGGCGGAGAAGCTGGCAGACAAACTGTCTGCGGGCATGTTGGTTATTTCTGTTATAACAGCTGTATGTTTTCGTAGTGTAGGAAGATTGTGATTTCTGACAGAAGGTAATGAAAGTCTAGCATTTAATATTCCAATGATCATATGTGCCTGGACAATAGTCTGTTGTCATGTGCCGGCTGAGTAAGCCGCAAGCAGGAAATGAAAGTACTGAACAGCCTCGTGTTGTTGTTCCAATCGTCCATTTTCTGCTCGTCATGTGATGTCGCTACGTGAGCGTTGCGATGATGCGAGCCAGATAAAGATAGAAAAGAAAGTCATCGCAACCACTGATCCCTGGCATCATGAGAGCTAACAGACTAAAATGGTTGGGGCATATTGAAAGAATATCAGATGACAGAGAAGTAAAAACTGTATACACCTGAGAGAGGAATGGGCGTAAACCACGAGGTAGACAAAAAGGAAGTTCAAGAGATAATCTCCAGCCAGACCTGCAAACACCTGGTGTCACAAATTGTGAAGATAAGGCCAGCCAGAGAGATATCTGCAGTAGTAAACCTCAAGGGCTCAGAATTGAAAATAAGAAGATGACTATTCTGTGCTACTTTATGCGAAGTAAAAGTTGAGCGTACATTTGACATAATGAATGTTTTTTTTTTTTTTTTAGATATATTTTGTTCAATTAACACTATTCGTATTCGGTCGAATAGCTGGTCCCGCTGTTCGTATTCGGCCTAATAGTGAAAATCACTATTCGGTACTGCCCTAGTACAGGCATCTTTAAAATTTAGTATTAGTATTTTCACTTAAGAAAATCGTATTTAACTCTGAGTGTCATAATTGGGATATAACGTGTTCAGTGATATTTCTGAGTATATCTTTCATACAACAACAGATAGATGTTAGTTGCTGACCATTTCTCAATCTCTCATCATCATCATGTAGCAGGTTCTTTGAAGAACGTCGCTCTCATCACAGTGCCTGAAAGAAACCCGGTCTCTCGCCAGTTCTCCCGCCTCATGCACTTTTCCACTCAAGGAGTCACTTATATCCTGTGCCCATCTTAGTGTCGGTCAGCCCCTGCCCCTCATTCCTGGTACCATGCCTTCTGCTATAATTTTTTCCAATTAGTTATGGCGCTTGATATGACCAAAATATTTAAGCTTTCGAGAAAGGATGCTGTTTATTAGCCAATCTTCATTGATGTTCAGATCTTTTAAGATGTCAATATTTCTCTTCTTTGTCCAAGATATTCTGAGAATCTTTCTTTAGCATTTCAGCTGAAAAGCCCCTATTCTCTTTCTTAAGGACTGAGAGATAGTTCATGACTCACATCCGTGTGTAGCCACAGGGAAGATGCATGCTCTCAAAATTCTAATTTTGATATTCTTGCTGGTGCTTAACCATAGACTTTTAAGGCTGTTCAATCTTTGCATTGCTATGGCCATCCTCCTTTTAATTTATGTCGAACCGTCTACATTGTTGTTTATTATAGAGTCTAGATATTCAAAGTTTGTTACATTTTCAATTTCTTCATCATTTATTATTTTTGGGTGACAGCTAGTTTTATCTGTGGACATTATTTTCGTTTTCTTGAAATTCAAGAACAGATTTTGATCTTCGCTGTGCTTTTGGACAGACAATATTAAATTTTCTATTCCCATTTACGCTGTTCGAAAGGAGGACTGTGTCATCTGCGTAGCGGAGTTTCGGAATAGGGTTGCCACTAATTTTGAGCGGATCATAACTGTCACAAGTCTGGTCATTTTTGACATTTCTCATTATATTTTCTGCGTATATATTGAATAGATATACTGAGAATGCACCCCTGCCTCACTCCCTTTTGCACATCGAACCAATCAGATGTTTCACCAGCTGCTCTGATGGCTGATTGTTGTTCATGATAAAGATTTGCAATTAAATGCACTAAATGCGCTGGAAACCCCATACTTTTCATAATAGTCCACAGTTTGTGGTTTTGGACACAATCAAATGCCTTGCTATAATCAATAAAACAAGCATGAAGATCTACGTCAGGGCTATTCAACTAAGTTTGCTCGCGGGCCAAATTGTTGAACATGGAGACCGTCGCGGGCCAGTGGCCCGAGTCCACACTACAATTGACATTTTCAACCTGTAGGTTTAATTCACTCGAAAACTGTTACGCCTAGGACGTAGCCTATATAAATGTAGCAGTGTTGTAAACCATTATAATATAAAGTGTACTACAATCTTTTGTAATGATTAATTAATACCCACCTTTAATTCTTCTGTTTCCTCGTATTCACCGGCTGTAAACTCCAGCGGAAAGTTCTGGTTGTACATCTACTTCTGGAGTCTAGTCCCGTTACAGAAACTGAGTGTTGCGTGCAGATCCGTTTTACACGTCTTACTCATTTGCATGCAGACTAGGTGCCTTGGATCCCAGGCAGATATACTCCGACTTCGAAGAAAGCTCCTAATAAGTCGACTCTTGCGACATTCTTTTGGGTAATCAGTGGGTCTATTCTCGTGTCCCCACAATAGTGCCCCGGAACCAACAGAGATCACTTTTAATTGAAATACACCTATTTCCAACTTGTCGTTGGGATCATAAAAAAACGTTACCATTGTCACAAAAATAATAATAACTGACCATAGTTGGTTTCATGTTCTGTAGAAGAAACCGAAAGGTATAACGATGAAAAAGGTAATTAATAGGAAATGCTGCATTTTCGTTTTTGAGCTAATTTTGCCAAATTTGGCTGGTGAGAAGTTAGAGCAATTCTCGTGCAGTCCTGCAGCCTATCGTTGCCCAGTGAGCTTCGACTGTTTGTCTTGATGATATTCATGTGTGAGAAACTTGATTCACAAGTGCAAGTTGAGCCAGACATGGTGAGTATGAATACAGCAAGTTTTCTAGCATAAGGGAACTGCGGCACTCTTCCGAATACCGGCCCCATATTATTCAAAGACAAAAAATCCCATTCAGGGTGTAATGAACCAAAACGTTGTCTTGCAGTGTACCTTTCAACTATCTTGAAATGATTCTGATTCAACTTGGAATGAATCGATGCTACACTTGGAATGAACCTTGGTGTGCACCAGCTTTAACGTCTAGGGTTGACAACACAAACGCCGCTCAGCTTCTTGGTACATTCTGTCAGTTTATTCTCGTCCATTTATTTCACATGTTCAACACATTATTCACATTTATTTCACTCGCGACATATTCGAACATTAAACATTTGCGCAACACAAAGACGACATCTTCAAATACTACAACCGTCTTCTCTGACTTCTGATGATCGACTGACCACGAGGCAAGCTCGGGCTTTCCCTCGCTTCCTCGACTAGGCACAAGTATCTCGTGCTGTCCCATGTTGCACGGACTTTCTGCTTGCCACTATGTAATCGTGAGGACCATGCAAAGCAGGGTCATCACACAGGGCCTCAAGAGTTTCGCGCAAAGTGAAAACCGATGATGATGGCTTCAAGACACAGCGCTCAGATGGATCGAAAATTATTCCTCCCCACGTCACTTCAGTCGATCGAAAACTATTTCTCACAACGCTTAACGCGCAGATGTGGAAACTGATGATGATCTACGTATTGTACCATTTTTTGTTGTACCATATTTTGTATAACCTCTTTATAACCCCTTGACCTCTTTGTAACCTCTTGAACCCTTTGAGGCTCTAACAGGAATGTTTTGGGCAGCAAATAATATGGGGCCGGTATTCGGAAGA